TTTTGCTAAATTTTGTCCTAGGTACCTTTTTTTATTCCTAGACTAACACTTGTGTTCACATTGTGATCATTGTGTGTTTTTAAACCTTTAAATCTAATTACAATGGTTGGTAAGACTCACAAATGTGGGCAACCAAATTGTTTGTTCCCGTTGAGGAGGGAGTGCAGTGTGATGACTGTAAAAAGTGGTACCACAAAATGTGTACACCCATAAGTCCGATGGCATACAAAAGATGCTCGAAGCCTGACTCGCATTGGCTTTTTATGTTCTGCTGTACGGATAAAAAGGTACTAATTCAGGAGGCTATGGGCCTATTGGCTTTGGCCTGCAAGAAAAACGATGACACATGCTGTGACAACACCGGCACTGACAGTGACAATTGTGTCAGTGTAGTACCTGCTGTTACGCAACGCCTCAAACAGCCGACTGTGACCGACGCAAAAGTGAGATCGCCGTTAAGATTACAATCGGAGTAATACCACCTGGTACTGGAATTGATAACGATGCACCTTTAGTGGGAACCGACGAACTGGATAAAACCATCACCGTCCCAAATAGTCCCAATGTCCTGAGGGATGAAAAATAGACTACGGTACGTAGGAAACGAAACGAAAGGAAAAAGCTGTAGGCAGTACACAGGTATTTAGTAACTCACTGGTGGACTCTCATTGTGAATCACATACTGCACTACCAAAATCTGATGGTAAGAGTGAAACCCATCCTGACGTGACTGAGAAGAAAGATCAAATAACAGCTAAAACTAATGACTGTTTACTTGATAAGTCCTTGGTAGACTCTCAGACCAATCCGCCAAAGCTCAAAAATAAAGCCTCGTCTAACACTGTTGTGAGTCACTCACAGGACTCTGTTACAATAAAAGCCAATTGTAAGATACCAGTAGTTAAAATACAGGATCTATCGTCACGGTCGAATGCTGTTAACACAATTTCAAAAGAAGCTAAACCCCTTCCTAGTTTAATTATTTGGAATCTAGAGGAGTTGAAAGATAACGACCCTGCTAGAAGACATGCACATGACCTGCAGTTAATGGAGTCTGTGGTAAGAAATGTGCTACCTGAAGAGGTTTCAGGGGTACATATTACAAAAGTAATACGACTCGGTAAATGGGTTGGAGGCGAGACCCAACCAAGAAGAATCCAGAAGCTGGTTCTCGGGAGTTTTGAAGAAAGAGACAAATTATTGAAAAGCGCACTAAAAACTCCTGACTCAAATATCCGTATTCGACCAGATTGGCCGCTTGAGGATCGAATCAAGTGGAAGAATGCTCTTACGGGGTTGAGGACTCGCAAATTAAATGGCGAAAATAACCTTACCATTAAGGGTTTTCGGGTAGTCATGTCTTGGAAGCCAATGCTTCCGAGGCCTGTATGGGTAGAACGACTGATTGCCAAAACACCTTATGCGTGTGCTACACGAACGCCCGTAGTTTTAGAAATAAAACGTCCGAGCTAAGTCTGATGGTGGAAGAATTATGTCCCGATATAATCGTTGTTACAGAAACTTGGTTCACAGTAGCTATAGACTGTTCTCCTTTCATTGCAGGCTATATCTGTATTAGAAGTGATAGAGTTTCAAGTCGCAAAGAGGGAGGTATAATATTATACGTTAGGGATCACTTTCGTATACAATCAACCATATCGGAGGCTCATATCAGTGGCACATGTGAGGTTGCATGTTGTAAGATTAAATCTAGAAATGGGTTAGTGACTATAGGGGAAATATACCGTAGTCCGTTTTGTCTTGCTGACGACTTTATCCTAAGACACATCTGTTCTTGGAGTATGGCAGAATGTTGTCTCATAATTGGGGAGTTCAACGCACCGCATATCAACTGGATAGAGCTTACAGCTCCAGGTAGTGGTTTCGATAGCGACCTTTTATCTACCGTTATTCAGTGTGCACTTGTACAATGTATCACAAAACCGACACATATTGATTTGCAACATGATCCGTCACTGCTGGACCTCGCCCTCACCCACCACTTTGAGGATGTCTTTGATATTCAGCACCTTCCCCCACTAGTGAACAGTGATCACGTTGTAATTCACTTTAAGTTTAGGACACATGGTATACAATTCGTATCTGCTCCACCCCGTCCCAATATCTGGCGAGCCAATATTCCGGCAATCAGAAACTGTGCTATCTCGACTGATTGGTCGGTCGACGCGGATGGATTGATCGAAGATGAATGGAATAAGTTTAAGGCTACATTCGAGTCCGTAACGTCGCCGTTTATCCCATGGTCAGCACGTAAGCTATCACATTGCCCTCCATGGATTAATAAGGAAACCCGGAAGCTGTTAGGAAACATTTCTGGGACTTATTCTTGTTGACAGGTCATGAACCATTTAAGCGTGAGTACCAAAAATTCCGTAATATCTGTCAGAAAACCATAGCCAAATCCCGTACCACTTACGAACGACAGTTAGTATATGATAGCCGTACTTGTCCGAAACGATTGTTTTCGTATGTTAAACGGCGGACGAAACGTAGTGATGGTATTCCCCCGTTACTGTTACACGAAAATTCAGAATTACTAGCTGAATCAGATCGAGCAAAAGCTGAGACTTTTTCAGACTATTTTAGCGAAGTCTTCTCTACGTTTATTGTAACAAATACTTGTCCCACTCACACCGAGATACCAACCATTGAATCTGTACAGGTGACTGAGGAAACTGTCCTTCAGTTGATAACTAACCTCAAACCTGGTAAGATACCGGGCCCTGACGGGTTACATCCACGGTTGCTGTCATCTCTTGCGGACATTATTTCAAAACCGCTCGCGACACTCTTCAACATGTCCCTTTCACTCGCTCAACTCCCTAGAGATTGGAAGGACGCTATAGTCAGCCCTATATTTAAGGACGGTCAGAGACATATAGTATCTAAATACCGGCCTGTTAGTCTAGCTAGCATAGTCGTTATTTCAAAACCGCTTTCGACACTATTCAACATATCCCTTTCACTTGTAAAATCCAAACTACTATTTAGATAGATGAATAGCCGTCCAGGTACGTTAGACATGCGCCCTTGCCCGTCAAAATCAAAACAAGTAATCGGGTAAATAGCGGTTCTATAATTCATAATAAATTAACATGTATATCGTTAACTAAACAAATATTACCATCCGGCTATTCAACCAATAATTGTCCAATCAATCAAATCTAAATTGCAATAATAAAGTTGATAAAAGATGAGGGAAAATTACCAGTCACAACAAATGAACGTTATTCTATCCTGACTGGACAGAACACACACAACAGTGGGAGCAATCCAATATGGCTGCCGCCAAGCACAAGTGTCAAGTAAAACAACATAGATACAGTTCGGGATGAAACACAAAAACGTAGTGAAGGCGTAATAAAAATAAGAACTGTAATAAAATACAAATATTAACAATTCAAACGTGATCAAAAAACAACAATGTACAACTATAGGGGTAAACCGGAAAGAAATGCAAGTATATACATGGAGGGATTTTCACAAACACACAAAAACTTCAAAATGGATCTTACATCACTCGCTCAACTCTCCAGAGATTGGAAGGACGCTATCGTCAGTCCTATATTTAAAGACGGTCAGACACATATAGTATCTAACTACCGGCCTGTTAGTCTAACCAACACAGTTGTTAAGTTACTTGAAAAGTTAATTCGGGTTAGGTTGCTAAGCAACATAGATTTACACAATCTGTTAGCTCCTGAGCAACACGGATTTCGTAACAAGCGTTTATACTTGACTACCTTGCGTACTGCGAGGGAGGATTGGACAGCAGCCCTAGATAACGGTCTGTCGGTCGATGTGATATTCATAGATTTTAGCAAAGCATTTGCCAAGGTTTCACACGTAGGTCTTATGCAGAAGCTCACGAGCTTCCGAATAATAGGTACTGTACATGAGTTTATAGACAACTTCTTATGTGGCCGCAGACAGAGTGTAAGGGTCAACGGAAAGCTATCCGATTGGAAGCCGGTCAAAAGTGGTGTACCGCAAGGCACCATTTTAGGCCCTTTGCTCTTCCATCTCTACGTTAATGAGTTACCGCTGTTACTTAGGTCGTCGACATTATTGTTTGCGGATGATGTAAAAATCTGGAGAACAATAAAAAGTGCGGCTGATCATCTGGATCTTCAAGCTGACTTAGACGATTTAGTTAGATGGGCTCGAGAGTGGGGCTTAGAAATCAATGCTAGGAAGAGTGTACTAATGCACATCGGTCACGGTAATAGTTACCGTTGTACTATTGATGGTAAACCTCTTCCATGCGTTCAAGAGCATAAAGATTTAGGAGTAGTATTAAGTTATGATTTAAAAACAACTACGCATTGCAAAGCAGCCGCTGTCAAAGGTTTTCGTGCGTTATGATCACTTCGCCGAGCGTTCAAATCTTTTGACGAGGAAATGTTTCGAATTTTATATCCCACCTATTTAAGACCACACTTAGAGTACTGTATCCAAACAGCTAGCCCGTGTCTGGTAGAGCATACTAACTCCCTTGAGCGTGTCCAGTGTGTGGGAACGAAATTAGTGAAGGGTCTTTCTAGACTCCCTTACGATGAGCGTTTAAAACGCCTAAATCTTTTCCCCTTGTCGTATCGTAGGACACGAGGTGATCTTATACTGGCATTTCGTATCTTTAATTATGATTTGGGTGTTAATATGTCTTATCTTTTTGCTCCCTTTAGCACGAATAATCTCCGCGGTTATAGCAAGAAGGTTCATAAATCAAGATGTAATAAACTTGAAGTGGGGTCCCGTTTTTCTCATCGAGTAGTCAATGATTGGAACGCCTTACCCGAACAAATGGTATCAGCCTCATCAGTGAATACTTGCAAGGAGAAGCTCGACCTTCACTGGAAAGCAGTGCGTCAGGATTAATACAGGTTCATCAACCTACTATCCTTATTACTGAAGACTGAAGACTGAAAGATCAGCGGAAAATTTGAGTTAGTGCGGCTCTTGTAAAAAGACTAGTGGTAATGAATGAGCTGGAGAAGTTATTAAGTTAGTATCGAGTCTTTCTCTTTACGCAAAACTTTATTATAGGTAAAGCTACAAACCCGATATCAGATCAGTATGACTCTGACACCGTGAATGAAATTGCAAAGCTGATTGATACTCAACCTAATGGTCCAATCTTTACTCTTCGACTTCTTGCCCATAAAATTAAGTCTCCACATGAAAAAGAAGCTCTTAGCTCTTTAATGGTAATAGTTATTGCTCTTTTATAAGTTTTAGCTGTTAGAGTTTTTATCCAAGCGCTGTGGTCCAACATTTATATCTGAACTCGGAAAGTTCAAGTTTCTCAACGAGCTAATCAAAGTTCTCTCGCCCAAGGTAAAGTTGAAAATTACGAAATTTTTTATAAAATTCTCTGTGTGAGAGACCAGCGGTCATAGGTCGCACTATTTTTCCCATGTGTCGGTCTGAACATCCCGAAGCTTCTTCCATGTTATTGTCCTTTCTTAGTCAGTTGTAGTAAAATTTCAGCCTTAATTTCCATTAGTTTTTAAAGTGATATAATATTTTTCGCCAGTTCTTTTACAAACGGCAATAATAAGCCCACCTAACACCAGAACTAGTGAATAAGTCCTGTGAAATGTTTTTGTCCGAATCCGTCTTTATTATTACTTCAATAGTTTTGTAGGTTGACTGCTTCTCTCGTGTCAAAGTCTTTTAAAACGTGTTGAATTAGATGCCGATAAAAATTCCTGACTGATATGAGAGACCTTTATATTCTGCTGAATTACGGCACTTGTAATGTTCGATTGTCTTCTTACGGTTAGTCGTACTGGATAGCAGTTCACTTTGTCTCGTTCTATAAGTTTTAGTTTCATCTATGCTTCAAGATCAACTGTTTTATTTGACATTATCCGGCGTTCTCCGTATATTTTTCTATTGTTCCTATTCAATTCCCTTCCGTGTGCTGTTTTAATATTTGATATAAACGACCCCTACTTTCGTTTATCGTTAACTTTCAATGTAAACTATCACCTGGTTTAACATGTGTTCTTTTATTCTTTATTATATGGCTTTAAATACTGCGAACTTTTGAGTTTTTAATTCCCTTTGTTTATAACTAAAATTTCAGTCAGTACACATTTCACATTTCTACAACTTCTGGTTTTTTACTTTTTAGTATCTTGGTGACCAGACATCTTCATGTGTAAAAAACAAATGTGCTCAGTTGCTTCATAATTGGCAACGTGATTTCTCACCAAATGAACCGAAGTTTGCTGAGGCATACAATATGCTTGTTCGAGAAGGTATTATAACTGCAAGTCAGATAGTTTCTACTGACTCTGTTTCAGAGGTAATATTCACTATCTTTCAAACTGAAATCGTAATATAAAATTATTCGATTGTTTGTGATATGAGATAAAGTATTGGGACTCGACCATCAACAATGAAATCCGTCTTCATGCGATTAACTCAGCCCCAATACGCGTTGCCTGGTGATAATTCCTAAATACTTAAATCAAAATGGGAAAAGTGGTTTGCAACTCATAATTCAGTGAACAAACGTTACGCACCTATCTTACTAAGGGTGGAGTCTAGGGGATTTATTCAGCCGTGTACTGACTCAAACAGTACTGGTCTAGTCAGAGCTTATTGCAAACTGTCATCAGAAGTAATTACTTCATGTGGCGTTCAAGGGGAACCCCCACTTTCCCTATCTTGACCCGAATTCGTCATATAAATGCTTTTAGCGATAACACTATCATCTAGGTTTTCAGGTATTGATGTTTTGCCAGGATATTCACTTGTTGAATTAGAATGTTCAAATGATGTAGTTTTTTTTGGTGAAGACTGGAAAAATACGGTCTTTCGACAATATCAGACAACAATGTATGGATGTTTGAGACCTCATTCTCTCCATTCAAATGTAAAACATTGTTTTACGACCGGCCTGGCTCAACTCCTAAATTATTGGTAGGGAGTGAGGTAGTTGGGCGTATCGACCGCTCGACTTATCTTGAGAGTCTCTTCAGTCCAGATGGGCTAGTGTCTGGCAAAATGTGGCACGGAATTAGAAAGCTTGATTGACTTTTACCAACGTGCACCACTTGTGGCGTAATCAAAGTATTTGTCCGTCAACCAGAAGACGAGTTTATTGCTCAGCAGTTCGCTCTGGTCTGCTTTATTAGCGTGTAACATGGTCATTGGGAATCTAGAATATTTGTAGGTTACTATTATTCAGTTATAGCTGTCTATTATTTATTCGTTCAGACGAAAATATTGGTACAAGTGCCGCCAAAATTTATGTGCCACACAATAAAAACAAGGTTGTGGAGGGATAGAGAAAGGATGGTCAATAAAATAGAAAAATGGACAAAAGCGAATAGAAGTTAGTGTATGGGAGTGAAATGATAACAATAACTAGAGAAGCAGTCCATTTGGGAAAAATACAACCGGGAAGAATTTCAGTTAAGTTCCTCTCACTTATGTAAAGAAAGTAAAAACAAGTTAAAGCAGGTTTACCATTGGCTTCTATTCTGAGCTATTTCTAATAACATTTAAAGCCGGTGTTGCACTATCTCTAGGACCCCAACTAGGAAATCGTTAAGGATCAACCGATGCCAGTCCTGTACAGCTGTCATTCGAACTACGACAGCATGTCCGACACTGACCACATCACTTTTTCCAATCAGTCTCAGCGTCAGTAAATAATGTGCGACATTCTTAGTACATATCCAAGACACCGAAGTCGATGTTTGAAGATGGTGACACCAATTGAATTATCGTTTCTGCTTCAAAACATACATTGCCGGATCTCTTTATTACTAACAGCATCCACTTAGGTAGTTTCAGACTATCTAGTTAGTTTGCGCGTGATTATCGTAACTAATGATGGGTGAAATGTGATGTAACTGAGGTTCTACCTCAAGAGTACAGATGTATCCACTCTTTAGATCCTGAGTTTTAAAATTACTTCATACCTTTTATTCCGGGAATCCATTCTTTTCTGAATAATATTTTCTGTCCAATCGTTTTTTACTATTCTTGATACTACTGGTACTTCTACTACGTTAGTAATCGCCTTGATAATTTAACCTCAGTGGTGTGGCGAGTTAGGTTGATGGATGTATGTTGGCAGAATATAGATTAGATTAAAGCACATTCCGTGCAGGATTGTGTTGGTTCACACTGATTGACTATTTCTTACCAAATCAGCGTTAGTGGATACTTAGAGAAGACTCTAGAATCTTTTCATGTAAAAACTACAAATATACTAACTTTTTTCTGATTGTGCTTCTTCCATCTGCCCTTGTTATTTGGAATATAATTTCGTTCCTGTTCAACCGTATTTTGATTTGGGGACTTATCGAATGAATTGATGTCCAAGAATACCAAGCAATAGGAATAGCTGGGTTGTAATAAGAGAAATCATACCAATGTATACGCTAGATTCTATACTAAATAAAACTGACTCAATGACAGTTTCAACTCAACGTTGAATTGGGTGATTGAAAAGTATTGTCAAAGTATCAGTTATTATATTTTGAATTGTTATTGCTTATGGTAATAACTTTGTTCATTTCCTTCAAGGAATATGTTAAATACAATTTTTTTAAAATAAACTATATATACTATATCTTCCTAAACACATATTTTGTAAAATGTTTAAAATTGGTAAAATGATTACTACTACGGTGAAGGTGTGGAATTAATTTATTGACAATATTCTAAATGATTTTTTTGACAAACAATTTGTTCTTAAGATATTCGACGACTTTTATAGTTTTTATGTCTTATTAATTCAATAATATTGACCTTCTTTTTCTTCTTCATTCATTCCGATGTATTATTGTTAAAATAAGTAGGGCTTATCAATATAACAGTATAAAGTAGTGACAATTGTGATGGGATTTCACATTTGTCTGGAATAGCTGACGTGTGTGTGTCATTTAGTGAATTTTTGTGCATGTATTAACATGGTACTGTTCTAGGAGATAAAATTATCGATAATGTTGAACGTTATTCACTTAAGATTCTCTCTAAGCAATATGATTGCTTTTAATTAGATGATCTTAACCTTGACATGATCAAGTTATTCCATATAGGATTTAAGATTTAAATATATGATCCACCTATTTCTGTCTGGATTCTTGGGTATCTTCATTGGACAGGAAGTCCAGCTTAAAGCTAAGCAGTATGAACTGTTGCTTGATAAATTAGTTAACTGGATTAACGTTCGATTGCTTGAAAACATAAACATTGGTATAAGGAGGCACCAAATATATATGCGCCACACAAAACAATGAGAATGGGGAGAGAAAAAAGGAAGGTAAAGAGCGTAAAAAAGAGGAACAATAACGACCAGATTAGTGTAAGGTAGTGTAATAATAATAATGATAATAATGGGGGAAGCGGAAAGTTACAACCAGAAGAAATCTTTCAGTTAAGGAAGATACAACCACTTTTTATGAAGAAAGTAAAAGAAGGTTACAGCAGGATCGCCACTGGCTTCTATTCCGAGCCGTACCTGATAACGTCTCTAGCCACTGTGTTGCACCATCTCTCGGACCCCAACCAAGGAGTCGAGAAGGACCAACAGAAGCCAGCCCTTTGCAGCTTTCTTTCATACCACGACACCATGTCATACACTGGCCACCTCTCCGCTTTTTCCAACCAGTCCCAAAGTCGGCAAATAATGCACGACATGGAATGCTCTGGGACGACATTCATAGAACATATCCAAGCCACCGAAGTCGGTGTTTCAAGATGGTGACACCAATTGTATTATTCTCTCTGCGCCCAAACACACGATGCCGAACCTCTGCATTACTGACATGGTGTTGCCACTGGATGTCAGCAGTCCTTCAGAGACAACGATGGTCGAACACAGAGTCGTCTAAAGAGTTTCCACCATAGGCGAGCTGCTGTATAAGTTGAAAAATAAGGATACAAAAGGTGGGAATAGAAGAGAGTATATAAGTGACGTAGTATATAAAAAATAAAAATCACTGTTATCAAATGGATATGAGTTGTATGAATTTTAATTGAAACAAGAATAAAATTTCTATTAAATATTTTCATTTCATTCTAATTTGTGTGTGGGCTGTGGTACTGCCCGGGTGCCCGAATCAAAGCAGGTGGTTTTCTTAAGGGTACCACACTCGGAGCCTTTGACCTAAAAGTCTGACCCACAAGGCAGTGGAGCATCTTGAGGAGATGCAGTCCCATGGTAGCCGGTGACCAACAGTTGGTTCATACGCCATTTGTTCCTTCAGGATACTGGAGCCCATGTGCACCATTGGTTCGGAATCAGAGTTTCTCAACTCCCCTAGATGAACTCACAGTGTCCACCAGCCGGATTAAAGCGCCGGACATTGAATTACTTCATATTTTCCGTGCTCCAATTTAATTTGTTTATCCCAATATATTTCTGTTTATTTTTAGTTTACAACTACTTCTAACGTCATTACTTTACCTCCTTTGACTTTCTTGTAACTGTGAGATGATTGTGAGATTTGTAAAGGTTAGAACTGGTATATATTTGTATCAGATATGAGTGACACGAGAACTGGTTAGGTGTTAGGTATCACAAACCAATTAATTGGATTTTTGAGTCGATAATTTATGGCATAATATGTATAACAGAATTAACTAAAAGTGGGGATAGTGAGCTACCCTGGCATATACCACATGATGTGGCTATTTCAAATTGCTCTTCGTCACTAAATCTCAGTCGACGAATAGTATTTGAGTAAAATTCTTACAGGCTTATATCCGCCGTACCAGGACTCCTCAGCCAACAGAGTTGAATGCTGTCTCTAGGTGGGGGAATATGATTACATTTGGACGGCGGCATCTGTTTTCTAGGATCTACCTAAGGGTAAAGGTTTGGTCAACAGATCCGTAGTCAGGATCGAAACTTGCTTGGTTTCATTAGATTACCTGTTCCCAAGCTGCATTTAAGCGTCTAGTGACACTTCATTTCTAATATAAAGAGTAACGTACGGTACATCATCTCTTTTTTACTTATGTAATATTTTCGTTTCGTTCTCTTTGTTTGCAGATTTGTCGCTCAGGCTCTTCAGCCGCTGAAAATAGGCAAAATATTTTTGAACGTAACAAAAAATCAGAGGTAAGTGTTATTTGTGAAAAAAAGTTGTCATGGAGGAAGCTTTTAATAACTAAAATGACAAAAAGTTCGATTTTTAAAGCTAATGACTAGAATAGTAATCGATAAATAAGCACAATAATATGATGTGACCGAGTGATGGCTGCTTACGGGCCGTATCACTTACTTAAAGCTTTGAATATTTTGATGTTAAGAACAAAATCATTAGCCAGGTGAATAGGTTTTTCTGTAATGAAATAACGTGCTTCTGTACAGAAAGCAAGCACAAAATAAACATAATGAAATGTCGACTGATCGGAGGAAATGAGCTTATAGTTTGCTCGTTTCCTAGTTAATCAATACATGACTTTTAAGCCTAGTTTTTGGGCTTGATACCATCCCCGCCCACAAAACGATCCTCCTTTGGCAACATTAGTTAGACGGTGGGACCTTTAACTTGTTTCATATATTTTTCAGTTTAATGAATACCGTGCCTTTCTTCCTTCGACCAACTGAAACCGTCTTACTGGCGTGAAATGTAGGCTAATTTTTTCTCAGAAATACTGAGGTAAACCTTTTCTTTTGAAGGTAATTATTTAGATTGGAAAATACGGCTCACATAAAAAAAGACATTTTCACATATTACTAAACCAAATACAACCTTGACACAATTGTTCCATCCCTAGTTTGTCTGCTGTTCAACCCTCTTTTTGATTTTGATTACATTGAAAATCGATAAGTCTTGCGGGATTTGTTTTATTTCTTACAATCTTCTTCACAATGATCTTTTGATTGAGTTGAAAAAAATCCCACAACTATCAGGATAATAAAATATGTTAAATATTTGGTTCTCATGTAGGTTTTACAACATGTGACGAAACATTTATTAAATTGTTTCCAAAGTAATAAGCAGATATATAACCATATTTTTCAACCAGAAAAAATAGATGTCTCAATAACTCAATATTCAATTCACCTGGTTTTGAGTTTCCACATTGAATGATGGTAAATCAATTGATGAGGTTGTGAATCTTCATCGACTAATATGGTTCGATCACGTGTTACGTATGCCTGAACATCGACTAGCACGACGCTCAATACTGATGAATGCTGGGGACGGTTGAAAGAATGTTAGAGGCGGCCAAACCACAACGTGGCATCAGTCCTTGAAGTCACTAACTTCTAGTCTTAGCCAGTTTGGTAGATGCAGACTACTTGGTTGGGGTCCACGTGACTATCGTAATAAATAGTTGGAGACTCTAGGTGACATGGCTCAGAATCGATCACAATGGCGTCGGTGTATGCATTCTCTGTCTTCCTTTAAACTCTGAGATTAAAATTGTTTTATATCTGTCTTTCTACGAACTAATCCCTTCTTCCTGTATTATATCCTCATATGCAATCTCTATCTTACATTTCTACCATTGAATTAACGGCTTCTATGAATTTTGTGTTCATCTTTTTGTGCTAATGAGGCGTGTCGACTTGGACCGATACATATATGTGCCTGATCCTATATTGTAGCTGATTGGCTGTCTAACACTGTTCTCATAATGGTCGCTAAACATTTTGCACTACTGTTTCATTCTCTGCTATCATAATAGAATTTCTATCATAATATCTCTTTGACTGAAAGTAACGATATCTCCCATAGATAGTTCATTGATTAGTTTTTCCTTCATTGAGTTATATTTGTATATAACAATATTGAACTGTGTATTTGTTAGTTCTTTTAATGATTGCCCAAAATCTATAGCCCTTTTTTTTTAGATAGTTGTTAGTTCTCACCTCTACTTTCATTGTTAGAATCAAACTTATCATTCTAAAACATAAAACCATTTAATTCAATAATAATAGTAATAACGCTTTTGAATGTGTATTTAATTGAGAATAGTCCAGTCATGTTTTAGACTTATGAAGTTGACACATTTCCAGTTAGTCAAGTATCGTATTAACTAATGTTTTGCGAAGTTTATTGACACTAATTGAGTGCTCAAAAATGTAATGGATTGAGCATGATTCATATTTACAACCTAACAATTAAGAATCAAATGATTGAATCAATTTACTACGCTTAAATTTATAACTAAATAAAATGACTTTTAAACTTCTCTTTTTTAGCGTTTAACCCAATTACTTCGTAGTCGTAACCCAGCTGATTTACGTGAAGCGAATGCGCTTATCAAGAGTATAGTTGAAGAAGTGAGTTTGTTTATATGAATAGTCTACTTATTTTAATTTCACTGTATTAAAAGAAAGATGATACCATTCCATTCACTTAATATATGAATATAAATCATTTGAATGGAGGTTTTGATAATATTGGTAAAGCCTCATATACATAACTCATGTGATACCAACTTGTTAACCGGTTTCTAAACTCGAAAATTTACGATTATCAAAAGCTGAACAATTCTAGAAAGTAGTCTGTCAAGTTTGACTCTCATGATTGTTTTTAATACAGAACCATGTCACATAAAACCTTCAACACAGATTACAGCTATTGCTTAAAACTGAACTAGGATACTTAAATGTACTGACACATGGCTTAGACCTATAATTAATGATTTGGTGAACTCATGTCGTATCCTAGTTTCACCTCTTTTACCCTTTTCTGAACCTACTTCTGTGGTAGATAGTACTGTAATTTAGGAGTAACGCGGTAGTTATATATGTATACCTCTCCAGTTGATAAACAATTATAGCATTATCAATCAACTCTTTTCTGGAGAGTGTATACTGATATGTAAAGCGCTTACATGTATATTGAATTCTTACTTAATACAATTTTTATTGAGTACATTATTGTTGACTCTGTCTGACCTGTATGTAATATCATCATCACTTATGTCTAGTAGCCGGGTCAAAGTTATTTATCCTAATTACGATTCAAAATAGTTCTTATGTGACAATTTGTAACAATTTACATCATATATCCTTATTAGTTCATATAAAAATGAATTTGAAGATTGATCTATAAATTTTTGCTTCGTTAAAGTGATGATGTCAAAGTATCTATTTGTTTCTTGTTACTTGTCGTATAACCACTTTTAATCAATTAAATCACTCAAATAGTGTATGATCGAGTAATACAAGATAACTCAGTGATCAAGATAACTAGTGATGTTACACTGATCCGATTTAACCCGTAACATTTAGTGATTTAAATATCGAAGATCAGTTATTATTTATACTAATATCTATGAAATAGGGGGCCTGTACCAACCCACAATCTTTTATCCAGTCCTGTGTTGATAATGGCTGACTAATTAATAAATTATATAACTAAACAGTTTGTTGTGAAATGTAATTGATCTTTTCAGCAATTTCACATTGCTTTAACGAACCGTACATTTTTTCTGTTGTCGACATTCATTAACTACTCATAAATTAAATCAGTAGGCAAATAGTGTTTTCTTATTTTGTGGAATTATTTACATTAATTTCACCATTTGTTGAAAGTATCTATTTATTTATTTATTTATGTGTCTATTACACACTTATTTTAAAGGATCAAGTACGTATGGAAAAAGTAAGCCAAAGAACTAGTGAAATGGAAGCTTTAAGGAACAATACAATATTATTAGAAGAAATGATTGGGACATATTTATTAGGTGAAAGTACTGAGGCTGAATTAGAATTGATGAGTGTAAGTAATTAATCTATATATTTTTTACTTATGCACTTTCATAGTAGACCAATTATAAATTCGTTGAATGTAATTAAAAAAATGACTGATTATTTCATGACCGTTGACTAGAATAATATCTTCCTAAAGGTGGAATGAGTAGTTAATTTGAAGTTTACTTAGACCCTTTATCGGTTGTTTCTTTGTTTTTTTTCCCTACCTATTAAAAAAATGTATGAAAATAGATGATAATCATCGTAAGTTGACTGAGATGATCTAGATCTATGTTATAAGTGCACAGCTACCTCTTATCTTGATGTTTCATAATAGCTAGATTATGGGTAGTCGTATATAGAGTAATATAATGTAACCCAGTAGACATCTGCAGTTATGTGGTTGGTTTTGAGATGCACGTTTAGCCTAAAAGCCAGTGACTTTATCCGGTTGCCCATAGAGAATTTGATCGAGTGAGTTTCAGTATTGTGATTAAATGGTTAAAATATGATTGTTTTAACATTTTTCCCACTGCTCTACAAATTAACTGAAATAAAACTAACATATTCCAAATAAAAACATGGTTTCAGTCTGTGAACTTGTTAACCGTTAGTCTGGAATGTATGGAAAAGTGCAGACTTCGTCTGATACTCAAAAAACTTGAAATAGTAGTCGTGGTTACACAAATCTTGTTTTTCTTTACTTTGTTTTGCTTACTCGTGTTACTCATTGTGAAACATAGGTTACCGACCAGTATTCTCCAGCCAATACTGTCCTTGGATATCTTTTCTAGTTTTTGTCAATTGCTGTTCATTCTTTTGATGTCTGTCTCTAATTCCCGGTGCAATATATCCTTTGATTTTTCATTTTCGCTTTTGCCCTCAGGATTCTAAATTTGGTCTTGCCTCGTGATGCAGTTTGATTATATCTTTATTGTGTCCTGTCCACTTTCAACGTCTTTTTCCAATTTCCTCTTCAGCTGAAAGCTGGTTTTCTCTCTCCCACAATAAACTGTTGCTGATGGTATCCGGTCAACGGACATTCAGTATCTTGCCTAGAAATTTCTTAAAAATACTTGTCTTTTTTGATGATGGTGTGGTAGTCGTTCAAGTTTCTTCTCCGTATAATAGAACTGTCTTGACGTTTTTATTAAAGATTGTGACTTTGATATTGGTTGATAGTTATTTTGAGTTCCATATGTTGTTGAACTATAGGAATGCTGTCCTTGCATTACGAATCCTTGCATTCACATTTGCATCAGATCTTCCTCGTTCATCGATGATAATGACCAGGTACGTGAAATTTTCAACCTTTTCCAGAGCTTCTCCATCAACTGTGATTGGGTTAGTGCTCGTTGTGTTGTATTTGAAGATCTTGCTTTTTGCCTTATCGAGACCTACTGCTGCAGATAGAAGCTGCTGCTACACTGGCTGTTTTCATGTGCATTTGCTTATGTGTATGGGATAGAAGAGCTAGGCCATTTGAAAACTTCAAATTGTTTAGTTGCTTCCAACCTGTCGATTGTATTCCATACTTCCCTTGAGATCTGGAGGTCTTCATAATCCAGTCAACTACCAGAAGAACGAGAGAGAGAAAACAGCCTTGTTTGACTCCGGTCCTTACTTGGAATGTATCTGTTAGCTGTTCTTTATGCACCACTTTGAGTATATTTAGTCATAAGAATTCCTTATGATATTAAAGATCTTCCCAGTTATAGTATATTGTCGAAGAAGTTTCTTTAGGGTTATTATATCCACACTGTCAAACACCTCACAGTCAATGAAGTTAATGCATAGTGACGAGTTCCATTTAGTCGAACATTTAACGATGACGCGTGGTGGCGTGACTTTATCGGCACAATCTATCGTCAGGAAATTTAGCTTATTGGTCTCGAAGCTGGGCGTCTACCTAATCTTTCATTCTTTTCACCAACACTCTGTTGTAAATCTTTCCTAGCACTGATAGTAATGGGGTGCCTCTGTAGTCAGCACACTTGCTCCGATTTCCTTTCTTTATTATCTTGGTGTGGTATCCTTCTTTCCAGTTTACCGGCACTCGTTCTTCCTCCCAAATCTTCCTAAATAGAACGTGGAGCATATTTGCTGTTGCTTCTATGTATGACTTCATTGCTTCAACTAGTATATTGTCAAGTCTTTCTACTTTTCCACTTTTGATTTGTCTGATAGCCATCCTGATTCCTTCTGTCGTAGGCGGAGTGACATCTATAGGAAGATCTCTGTGTGCTGCTACAATGTCCGGTGGGTTCAGTTTAGCTAGCCATCATCCATCTCCGTGTAGAATGCTTGTGAATTAATGGGAACATCGAAGAAATCCTCACAGGACAGATATATGCCAGAAAAGACTGGTTAATCTCAGTCCTATACATCAATGTGAAGATCCAAACAACCGGCATATATGTATTAACTAGAATCTTCATTATTCTTACCATTAAAACTAGTACACATGTATTCATACTATTTGTACTTTTCACTCTGTTAAGTATAGTTATACAATCTATTTCTAATCGAAAACTATTATTTACTTATATTTATGTTATTCTATTAGTCTATTAACTAGAATTCACTCTATAACATCTACTTCTATCTAAGCAATCATTAGAGATATTATTTAATACTACAGTGAATTGTATTAGCATGTAATTCTTTCGTAATTGATCCTTAACTTGTCACACACACACGTGTACACGTACATCATTATCGTTATTTTAATTCTTATACAGGAATTGACACAGAATATACGTAGAGCACGTCCATTATTATATAGTTTCTCTTTAACACATGAAGAACAAGATATTGAAACATTGAGTAAGTTTGTTTTTTCTTTTTCTTCTTCTTCGTCTTCAAATTATAGAGATTGAAATTATTATTTTCTGAGAAATAAATAATAATTGCTGTATATTCTGTCAATTTCAAAGTTGTATATAGAAAATAGTTTTACATTCATATTAATTATTGGGTCGTTAAGTCATCTAAATTTAGTGAGTTGATACCCTCAAATGCCCTGGTACAGCCGATAGTGGGGAGAGTCAGCTCATTCTGTTGAAATGCTCTCACATGGCCACATGCCTACAACCATTGTCAGGAAAGTCATACTCAATGCTTTCTCGTACCATGGGTGTTTTTTTTTACAAAATTGAGAAGATGAGAAGCGAATATCCGGTGCTGTAACCGGGTTGGTGGATATGGAGGATTCACCTAAGGGAGCTGGAAAACTCTGATTTCGAACTAATGGCGCACATGGGCTCCAGAATCCTGAGGGAACAAATGGAGTATGAACCAGTAGTTGATCACCGGCTACCACGTGACTACATCTCTTGACTTTGCTCCACTGCCTTGTGGATTAGACCTTTAGGTCAAAGGCTCCCAGTGTGATCCCCTTAAGAAAACCACCTGCTTTGATTTGAGCACCCGGGTAGTATCCCAGCCCACACAGAAATCGAATGATTTACGTGGCGCATATCTATTTGGTGCCTCCTTGTACCAATGTTTATGTGTTTAGATAAATAGATTTGTTGAGTTGATGAGTTAATACACATCATAAAGTGTGTATATATATCCCTGGAGTTTTTGCCGATGATGTCGTTCAGAGGAACGATGAAATAGTTGAGATCATGAGTTAATTGAAGCTAGACCACTATAGAAACCTATAGGTCCTGGGTTAAAGTCTCGCGAGGCGGGATCGTTGATGCACACTGCTGAGGAGTCTCACATCAAGACGAAACGGCTGTTCAGGTTTTCCATGATGTTCTAGCTTCAATTGTTTCACTGGATTATACTCCTTGAATAACATCTTCAAACCTTAATCTTTCCAATTACTGCTTAGACTCTTATTACCTCTATCACTACGGGATTTGAATCGACAACTGCATCTCTGTGCTAATGTGGCATAGCAACTCGAACTGATGTACGTACGTACGAAGTTCTACGTTGTTACTGACTGACTGACTGCAAAATAATTAGTTATCAGTCTTAATAATGGTATGTTCCCGAATGCCCTGGTACGGCCGAGAGTGAGGAGAGTCCGCTCTCCCTCTCGAAATACTCTCACACGGCCGCGCGTATACAGCCTCTGCCAGGGAAGTCCTACTCATTGCCTTCTCGTGGCGGGGGTGTTGTTTACAAAAATGAGAGGATGAAAAGCGAATGTTCGGCGCTTTAACCGGATTCCAAACCAATGGTGCACATGGACTCCAGTATCCTGTGGGAACGAATGGCGTGTGAACCAATTTTCGGTCACCGGCTACCATGGGACTGCATCTCCTTACGATGCTCCACTGCCTTGTGGGTTAGACCTTAAGGTCCAAGGCTCGGGGTGTGGCCCCCTAAGAAAACCACCTGTTTCGGTTTGGGCACCCGGGCAGTATCACAGCCCACACACAAATGATGAACTCTCTAATAACGGTATTTGTATTTTTACATTTATATCTTTTTTTTTCTCGGTTATAAATTTTTTAGCTGAAATTGGTCAAATATGTGACAGAGCTAGTGAAGTTTTAGCAAATTATGAACAAAAGATAGCCAAACAAAAGTCATTATCCTCATCAAAATCATCATCTATAACTAAAGATAATTCTTCTTCCCAATTATCATCAAATGAAAATCAATTGTCATCATCTAATCATATTACTGATCTTTTAACACAAGATTTAATGAATTTAGGCTTATGTGATGATTCAATCACACCTATCCCATCTTCTAATGCTAATCTATACTCTCCAGATGTTTTATTATTGAATACTTCAAATTCATTTCTTGTTAATCATCTTCATAATTCGTCATGTAATCAAGTATCGCGTCCAATTGAACCAAAATATTCATTAAACAGTAGTAATAATAATAGTAACAATTTTATTGGTAATAATCCTGGTATTAGGAAAAAATCAAACTATGATGACTTACAGGATATTTTTTCTACAAATGCTACTAATACTTCTACTACTACTACTACTACTACTACGACTTCTGGGTCATCAGGTAAGTCTCTTTAATATTTTTACTCTTTTTAGTATCTTTTTATTTCGAATCGATTAATCAGGTAGTGAAGTTTTATTCATTGAGAGGTGGCTGAGGTTTGTGTTATTTATGCTCAACCACCTCGATGCGTTATATTTAATAGTGTCGGAGTAGGTCGGAAGAAAGCTAGTGGGGGTCAAATTAAAGCATCAGTTCATAAAATCTGTTAGACTGAGCCATGTATGTGGGTAGTGATTACCGTGTTGGGGTCCACATGGTTATCATAATCATTGTTTGGAGATTTTGTGTGAGAAAGAAAGATTAGTTCAGCGAAGAGTTCTCTTTTCGGCGAATTCATTTTCAAAGCTGTACAATTTTGTGTGAGATCGATTAGAATCTATCATAATTTTGCAGATATTTCTAATGCTCTCACATGGCCACATGTATACAACCACTGCCACGGAAGTCCTACTCATTGCCTTCTCGTGGCGGGGGTGTTTACGAAATTGAGAGGACGAAAAACGAATGTCCGGTGCTTTAACCGGTGGTGGGTACGGAGGACCCACCCTGGGAAGTAAAAAAACCTTGATTCTAAACCAATGGTGTACATGGGCCCCAGTATTCTGAAGGGATAAATGGTGTATGAACCAATCGTTGTTCACCGGCTATTATGGGACTGCATCTCCTGACGTAGTTCCACTGTCATGTGGATCAAACCATTAGGTTGAAAGCTCCGAGTGTGGCCACCTACGAAAACCACCCCTCACACAAATCGAATGGTTTATGTGGCTCATATCTATTTGGTGCCTCCTTGTACCAATGTTTATATGTTTAAATAAATAAAAATAAGGAACACTGTGAAAGGGTTAATAATTTACTGCGAAACTATTTTAATTGAATGGTACTGTGCTGTGTACCCATAGCTGTTATTATTATTATTATTAATGACAACAATATAATTTCAGTATTCAGTTACTCATTTTAATTGTACAATTTCGATCTTATGAAACTTAGAAATTGTTTTCATCCAGTAAATCATTGATATTAAGCAGTTGTAAATGGTATTTGTTTAAATGTATTTAAATTCGAACTATTAATCATATAGAAAAGATTATATTCATGATATGTTGTTGGCTTGTTAGGTGGTGAAACATAGTGAACAGAAAACCTTGGAACTAGGTTTCATGCTAGCTATCACTCATTAAATAGACTTACCTGGAATGTTAAGGAGGCTAACTCTCCGGGTGGAATTCGATCCTATATCTCCAAGATACAGTTTGAGGCATTACCACAGCGACAAAGTTCCTATGGGACTAAGATGTTATTGATTTGTTTTTGGTGTATCATAAATTATCATCTATCCTCTTTTCTCTATTCCATTAGTCGAATGACGTCAGTTACTATTTCAGTCATAACAGCTAGCTATGCATATGGGATTACATGGGACCTGACATAAATGATGTTGTTTACTTCATAGGATTTCTTAAACCGGTTTTAAATGAAATTGTTCTTCATTGTCAGAAACCATAATATATGATATTTTTGTACCGTAACATTTTTGGTTATTCTATCCATTGGAAACACTTTCGGGCATGTCGGGAATTGAGTTGCAAGTTTTGCGCTTTAGAGTATTATAAGAGGGCGAGATAGATATCTAATTCTTACTGGTTTCTAATGCATATCACTTTTTTATATTGATAATATTCAAATGGAATGATGTTTCATAATTTCATTTGCTAATTATTATTTCAATGAACTATACTACTACTAACAGTAATAAGAATTCTTAATCTTTACTTTTCTCTTTTCTCCCAGTACTCTCTACTTCGTCAACGCTTTACCCATCAATATTCAGTTCTGTAGACTCCAAAACTTCGAAACAATCCTTGTCTCCTGAACATGGATCTTCTGTAAATTCCAATCCCAACGTCTTCAGCGAACTAGATTGTTTGAGTCGTCAAATGCTTAACTTATCAAAGTAAGTGTTGCTCGTTGCGTCTTTTGTAGAAATCCTTTTTTATTATTTCCTGGATGATGACCATTCATGTGTAACTGGATGGTGATGTACTACAAAGCGACAAATAGCCCGGATCAAAATTTTCCGAACAAACAATTCATGAATAAATATTGTCACTTTACATTGAGAGAAGTCTTTGTATGATTTGTGGTAATGCAACTCTTTTTGCACTGACCTCTTTCATCAAGACAAATTTCACTTATTCATGGTTAATCCTTTATTTATCGATCTGATTTTCATGTTATTGTAATTCTAATGATCATGTATTTCTATTTTGGTGATCCGTAATCTTTTGAATATTTCATGGAGGATTATTAGAGTATTTGCAATGATTTACTTTTCCGCCAATTACAAAGTGTTATTTCGAGAATGACATTTATCGATGTCGAATATGACCTTAGGAAGCAAATTTATCAGGCAGTTTAACTGGTTCGATTGCGTTTGTAGTCTCATCAGCTCTGATTCTTTGGGGGTTTGGTCGGATATGTTAGCATGGACATAAAAAGCTTGTTCGGTTTTTAAAAACCTAATCCACATGTTAAATGTCGATCTACTAATAAATATGCGAATAAACTGAAGAATAGTTTAATTTGTACTACTTTAAGGTATTTAAGAGTAGGAAGACTGAGTAAATTGTTGGTATTCGTATGCTCATGTCTTTCAAGTAGTGTTTGCATAAACTGTGCTACTACTACTCTACGCAGTATCGAGTTGAGAACTTTCAGACTTCACTGTGTGCATGATATATCAAGATCACTGAGTCAATCCATATATATATCCATTCAATTGATGATGTGTAGCACAAAGATCATCTAATAAGATTGATAATAAGTGTCCCTTGGTTATCAATTTTTCTGTAACTAATATCAATCGATGATAATTAATTGTTTCCAAGTCAAAAATCTCTTCAATACGAACGTCAAGAAAGTTCTACTGTACGGAGCTGAAACTTGGAGAACTACTACCACAACCTTCATCAAGAAGGTACAATTATTTATAAATAGTTGTCTACGCAAGATACATCCATTGGCTAGATACCATCAGCAACAGTCTAATGTGAGAGAGAACAAACCAACTCCCAACTGAAGAGGAAATTAAGAAAAACGATGGATAAGACATACATTACGAAAATCACTAAACTGCATCACGAGGCAAGTCCTAACTTGGAATCGTGAAGGGAAGCGGAAAAGTGAAAGGCCAAAGAACATATTAGGTAGGGAAATAGAAGCAGATATGAAAAAGATGAGTAATAACTGGAAAGAGCTGGAAAGGATTGCCTAGAATAGGGTTAGATGAAGAGTGATTGTGGATAGCCTATGCTCCTCCACGAAGAGTAATAGGCGTAAGTAATTAAATCACAAATCATTTCGGAAAAATAATATATTTGCATGATGGATTTTTTAAAAGTAGTTTTAATATTCTATTACGTTTCTTTCATATCTACATAGAACAAATGCTTTGACAGATACAAATCTATCAATATTACTAGCAAATAATTCTCCAAGTAAAATAAAACCCGATGGTGATGATGATGATGATAACACATCCCTATGTATTAATGACGTAGTTGTAAGCATGAATAACACTCCCACCAGTAATAATCACAAAATGGAAGAAGTAACACCATCAGAGGTTACAACACAAAGTGTAATTGATCTTAAATCATTTGATATTCAACTTTCTTCCGTTCAACCTCATTCAATACATAAAACACCATTGACACTTTATCCAACTGATATATCACAAGAGAATGACAGTAATGATAATACTTATAACATACAATTAACACTACATTATGCTAATAATAAACCACATCCTGAAGTGATGGTTTTTGTTGCTGTTATATCTAGTCGAAATGTTTTACCCATTACTGAAATCAATGTTAGATTTGGTGTTGAAAAGGTGAGATTATTAACTTACATTATTATTATTATTATTATTATTATTATTATTGTCCGACGCTTTAACCGGGTCGGTCGATATGGAGTATCCAGCCAGAGGAGTTGGAAAACCCTGATCCCAAACCAATGGTGTACATGAGCTCCCGGATCCTAAGGAACTAAGTGGCGTATGAACCAATCGTTGGGACTGCATCTCTTGACGTTGCTCCACTGCCTTGTGGATTAGAGTTTTAGGTCAAAGGCTCCGGGTGTGGCCCCCTAAGAAAATCACCTGCTTCGGTCTGGGCACCCGGGCAGTATCCTAGCCCTCACATAAACCGAATGATTTATGTGGCGCTTATCTATTTGGTGTCTCCTTGTATTAATGTTTATGTGTTTAAATAAATAAATAAATGATTAAATAATAATTATTGTTTATAATTTGTATGCAAGATTTCATGTTCACTGTTAGTCCTATAGTTAGTATTGATATCTGATGAAGAAGATTTATAACTTCATCAAAACAATTTTAGGTATGTTGTATCATATGAAGCAGATAGTTGAATGACTGGACAATATTCACTCTTGTTTTTAAACAAACAAACAAACAAACAAATTCACTTCTACCTATAATAAGCTCTCATGTTGTTCAAAACAACAATGAACTATCCAGTTCAGGAAATTCAACACTATCGAATTTGATAACCTTAACATATCATCACTTTTACTTTATCTACTGTTCATTTGTTTCTTTTATTTAAAAGTTAATTTGTGAATTGAATGAAAAAATTCGTTGATTGCTAACTAACTAAATCAATCAAAATTACCATTTTATGAATACACTTTAACTCATACTTAAAATAACAGTACCTTTGACCTAAAGGTTTGATCCACAAGGCAGTGGAGCATCATAAGTAGATGCGGTCCCATGGTAGCCGGTGATCTACGATTGGTTCCTACGCCATTTGTCCCTACTGGATACCGGAGTCCATGTACACCACTAGTTTGGAATCAGGGTTTTCCAACTCCTCTAGGTGAACTCTCCGTGTCCACCAACCCAGTTAAAGCACCGGACATTCGTTTTTAGTCCTCTCAAGTTCGTAAACAACCTCTGTGGTGCAAGAAGGCAATGAGTAGAAATTCCGTGGCAGTGGTTGTATGCATGTGGCCATGTGAGAGTATTTGGAAAGGAAGAGCTGACCCTCCCCACTTTCAGCTGTACCAGGGCATTTGGGGGCCATGAATATGAATATATTGGCCTTTAAATTAAAACTAGTGATTAGAGACTGATCCATCACTCATAATGTTTACGAAAAAGAATGTAAGTTGTTCACATCAAACATCATCAGATGATAGTATACTTGAACCCCGAATACATTGGTATGCCTGAGTGTGAGGAGATTCCTCTCTCTCTTTTGAAATGCTCTCACATGGCCTCGCGTATACAGTTACTGCGAAGGATGTCCTATTCAATGTCTTCTCGCGACAGAGATGTTGTTTACGAAATTGAGAGGACGGAAAGCGAATGTCTGGCACTGAAACCGGGCTGATTGCCACAGAGGATCTACCTAGATAAGTTAGGAAACCCCGACTCTAAATTAACAATGCACATAGACTCCAGGACTCTGAGGGAACTAATGGCATATGAATCTATTGTTGGTCACTGGCTACCATGTGACTGCATCTCCTAACGTTGCTCCACTGACTTGTGGATAAGATTTCTAGGTCAAATAATCGGGGAATCGCCCCCTAAAAAAACCACCTGTTTCTGTTTGGGCGTCTGCACAGTATTTTAGGCTAAACAAAAATTCGATAATTTGTGTGATGCATCTATATTTTTGTGAATGTTTGCACTAATGTTTGTGTTTAAATAAATAAATAAATACTTAAACCTGTTGATATCTCATGTAAGGTGAACTGGAATACTAGGAACAGTCCAACAAAAATGTGACATCAATCCATGAAATTAATGACTGTTGAATGAAGTCGTTCTGGAAGATATATAAACATATCCTGTTTATGGTGTCAGTATGATGACTAGATTCAATGATGGAAAATTATTAGTAACAATTTGTGTCACATACACAGGAAACAACTATTTTCTCGTTTTCTGACTATGATGTTTATGACTATGATGATTTATATTTTAAAAGCCAATTATCTCTTGTTTTCTTTAATTAGCTATTCTGTTAATTTAATATCAGGATATTTTACGATGATTTTACATGTTTACGTTTTACATCCTTGTCAGACATGAAATACCATACCGTCCTATAATGTTGATTAGACCTTCGAAAAAGGTATATTGTTTTGGTATAAATTTCACAAGAAACACAAGTAAATGTATGTCAGAAATAAAAATGAGATTTATCATCGTTCACTAATACACATATTATTTTAAAAAAACATTCGAATTTCAACCACTAAGTTTCAGGTTCGAACCCTGTCTCACTCACTTCAGTTTAAGCAATCAAGTAGTATCATTAGCTCTCATACTTCGAATGTGGCTCATAGATAAGTACATGGTGAATAAACGAATCTAACTGAACACATGTTTACAAACATACAATGGGTAAGTACACTACTACTGTGGTGTATGCTACTGATGTCGATAGATATAAGTAGTATATATCATCAATCGAAAGTAAAAAGCCTAGTGGCCGGAAGTTAAAAAAGGTCGAAGGAAAGAGAACGAGAACGATTACTATGGAAAATGTTGAGTCGGCTTTCCAAGAACTGCAACGGAGCCGAAGAGTCCTAGCCAATCAGAGCATGATGGTGTTTTCTAGAATATCAACGTTGCGTGCTACTATTGGTCAGTAGCATAATATATCTTTTAGCGGATTGGCCAAAATATGATGTTGATTTAAAAAATGCTAACATCTATAAATACCCGTGTTTTTCTGTACAAAAATGAACCCTTAGGGTTAGTGTTTTCGGTTATTTTGCTCCTTTTCTCTCGAGTCCTGGTCTCTGCGTAGTTCTAGCTTGAGGGTTATCAGAATAGCTTAGCAACTGAATAAAATGTTCAAATTAACAAGACTTATCAGAAACAAAGAAACAATGAAGTCTAGGACGATTAATTGACATTTTGTAAATGAAGTATTTATTGTATGGTTCTCAGATTTTACTAAAACAGTGATCAAATGAATTGAAATCGAATGATTTTTGCACTGTATTTGAAGTACATTTTTTTCTGTAGTTTCAATTGAAAATTTGCTATGCTAAGTTGAACAAATAGATACTAACCTGTATTGATTCTATTTACTCTTTTAGCCTTTTAAAATACGACAACTTATTGCATCTGGACAAAATCTTCCATCTTATACAACATTTCTACCGCCTGCATCAATTAGTCAAGTATTATTAATTTATAATCCATCTAAATTAGTAAGTTAATTATTGATATATTTCTTTGAGAAAAAAGTCAGTTTTCTATGGGATGGGGTAGCTAACCCCTATACCCAATCATCCTCCTTTATCCAAGCTTGCAACCGACAGTAACCCCAGAGGGGCTCCAGGTGGAGTTTTTGGGAAAAAGTACAATTTGATATATATCTATGTCCATATATATATATCGATGATTCTGATATCACGTTGGATGTTAATAGTATTTTATGGAACCGTTTAATACTAAGCTTAGCCATGAATAGGCTTTGATTATAACAGTCAATGACAATGATCATTATAATTCTGATAATACAATAAATCGAACCGGTATACTTTTATTCAATCACTTGGTGTAACGCGACTGAAAAAATGTTTTGTATTCTTGAATAATCAGGTCTTCTAATACTAGACGAAGGATTTCGTAAATGCGTTATTCACTTTGTTTCTTTAAATATCCATTAAGCAATCTTAAACAAAGCTTGTAAAGACATAAATTTATCTCTATACTCCAAGTGTAGGATCTACGCTAAAGGTTCTAACTAAAGTATACACGAAATGTAGTTAGGGGCGGCCAAACTACAACGTGGTATCAATCCTTGAAGTCACTAAGTTCTACTCTTAGCCATGTTGGTAGATGCAGACTATCGTAATCAATCGTTGGAGACTCTGGATGACATGGCTCAGAATCGATCATAGTGGCGTTATTCTCTGTCTTCCCTTAAACTCTGAGATTAAAATTGCTTTATATCTTTCTTTCTACGAACTAATTCTTTCCTCCTGTACTATGGCCATATATGCAATCTTTCTTTTATATATTACTACCACTGAAGTAACTGCTTCTATGAATTTGGTGTTGATCTTGTTGTGCTAATGAGGTATGGCAACTTGAGCCGATCTACGTATGTGCCTGGTCCTACGTCGTAACTGACTGATACATGAAATGTAGAATTACTAACCTTAAGTTTGCTCAATATTGCAATTATATTCTACAAAACAATATTAAACCATGTAAATTTACAAATGATGATTCTTTAGTTGTGTAATGACTATGTAAGAGATATTTCCTTCATTACAACATAGTGAATTCAAATCAATAATTATTGATTATTTATAATATACCTTTAAACTGTCTATCTCTTCTATCATATAATAACTACCTGAGATATACACTAATATCACTGTTATCTTTTACTTGTTGTGGATTCAGGATGTTATGATACCATGATATTAAAACATGATGAAACTAGTTGCTAAATGTAATCCATTTAAAGTTGTATAATTGATAAGTTAAATCACATTAGTCTGGTCGTTAGAAAAATGTTTCATTCGTTCTAAATTTGAGCAAATCCATTTTTGAGTATTGTTTGTTGTCTTTGAGATGGTGGAGAAGAATGAACTGAAAAGCACTTACAAACTGACCAACAACGTTTTCAATGACATCAAGTTCACAATGGAACAGGAGTCAAACAACCAACTAGCATTCTTGGATATATTAATCACTAGGACCGACATAAGAAAACTGGAAACTCAAGTATATAAGAAACTGACCCATACAGATCAAATTCTCAACTACAACAGCGACAACCCAAGAGCTCACAAAATCAACTGGGTACACACATTGTTCAAGAGGGCGAGGACACACTGCAGCACACTGGTAGCACGGAAAAAATGAAGAGAAACACGTGAAGGACTTATTTCAAAAGAACGGCTACCCAATCAACTTCATCAAAAAACACCAACCGCACGCAGCATCAGAACCCAAGTCAAGCAGAGAAATCAACAAAAGGATCACCCTACCGTACATACAAGTAATATCAGAAACCGCAACGAGACTGCTGAAAACCTTCGGGATAGGTGTTGCACACAAACCGACAAAATCACTACAATCAATCCTATGCAAACCAAAGGATGAAATAACAAAGGAAAACAAATCAAACATCATCTACAAAATAAATTGTACCAACTGCGACAAACACTACATCGAACAAAGTGGACGCCCCCTCCACCTTCGCCTACATGAACTTCAATTAGCAGTCAAACGCCATGATATCTCTTCACTTATATCAATACACGTGGATAACTACGGACACTCATTCGATTGGAAAAATATGGAAATCTTAAACAGAGGAAACTCCAAAAACACCAGAGAATTTTTAGAAGCCTGGCACTCAGGTCAATCAGCAATCAACAAACATATTGAAATCAATCCAATTTATCAACCAATCAGGAAAATCATGCATAAATACGGGAACAAAAATAAAAAACCAATGGGAGACAACCAAAATAAAGAAGTAAATAATGATAAATTTAAGGTCAATAAGAACCAATCAACATCGAGGTGCACAGAACAAGCTGTGGAACACATGGAGAAATTCGAACACTTCACTTCTATCTGAAGTTTGTGCTGATGATGTCGTTCAGGAGAACGATGAGAGCTCCACGACCAAACCATCCAGCTCAGAGAACAAAACTCCACCAAAATCATCCACCTGAGCTACAAATCTTCTCCACCATCTCAAAATCATGTGGGCGTAATACGCTTCGCGTTGTTCGAAAAAATTGTTGGTTGTCTGTCAGCCGGCGCTAAATAATCCTATTGTATAAAATACCATTTTTGGTTTATATGCTTACGGTAATTACGAATTACGAATGTTTCTATGATCCTTTTAATATGAAATAGGATCTACGTCAACTAGATAGGTTAGATAACTATATAAAATACTTTCAACTGTAATTCTTCACCTCAATCAATTAGTTGTACAATATGCTTTTTTCTTTCTCTATAATTCCGGCACTTCTACACTGCAACAGACAGTTGCCACACTTTGCCCCTAAATGCCCTGGTACGGCCTAGAGCGGGGAGAGTCAGCTCTCCCTCTCGAGATGTTCTCACATGGCCACATGCATACAACCACTGCCAGGGAAGTCCTACTCATTACCTTCTCGTGGCATTACTGTTTACGAAATTAGGAGGTGGAAAAGCGAATGTCCGTTGCTTTAACCGGTGGTGAGTACGGAGGGTCCGCCTAGTGAAGTTAGAAAACCTTGATTCCAAACCTTTGGTGCACATGGGCTCCAGTTTTCTGAAGAAATAAATGGTGTATGAACCAATCGTCGGTCACCGGCTACCACGTGACTGCTTCTCCTTACGTTGCTGTACTGCCTTTTGGATCAGAACTTTGGTCGAAGACTCCGAGTGTGGCTCCCCTAAGTAAACCACCTGCCTCGGTCTGGACATATGGGCAGTATCACAGCCAATACACAAATCATCTGACTTGCGTGACGCATATTTATTTGGTGCTCCTTTGTACTAATATTTATGTGTTTAAACTGAAATAATAATAAAGAGATTCCACATATTTTTTTGGATTGTGATAAGTCTTGGCGATCGAACGCTATATACGATTACCTAAGCTATTCTGGTAACCCGCGGTCTAGAACTACACAGCGACTTGAACACCAGAGAGAAGACACAAGTATGAGAGAAAATACTTTATCCTAAGGTTCATTTTTGTACAGAAAATCATAGGTATTTATAGATGTTGACGTCTATTAAATCAACATCATATTTCAGCCAATCCGTTAACGACATATTATGCTACCGACCAATAGTAGCACGCTACGTTGGAATTCCAGAACGTTCCATCTAAGATTAAATCTAACGGGAAGTTCGGCCGGTTACTTCGAGTCTGCACCGTTCTTTTGTCCTTAAGGATTTGATTTGCGTGTCGTATACATGTCCCAAAAGCTCCTCGAACTCTGTACAGAACTCTTCCCAGTCTTTGTACAACTTCTCCCGGCTCCCATCGGTTCTTCCCGATGTGGGATTTAATGTAAACTTTGTCGCCAACATTGCAGTTCCGGATACTTGGATCGTGACTGCGCTCATCCACTAATTTGGATGGCAACATGGCATCGAAGACGGTTCGAATACGCCTTCCGAACATGGCTTCCGCAGGGGACTTGCCGTCTGGAACATTCGGGTTCGGGTGGATCTGTAGGATGTCAAAAATTTTGTGATCACCTGCCCTGTCGTCCCTTCGCCTCCCCCTTTCAGTAGTGCTCTTTTCAATGTATCCACGAAGCGCTCTGCCTGGCCATTTGATTGAGGGTGATACGGTGGAGATCGTATGTGTGCAATCCCATTAACGTTGCAGAAGTGCTTGAATGATTCTGCAGTGAATTGTGAGCCGTTATCGGTCACTAAAGTCTCCGGAACTCCAAAGCAGCTAAACAGGTCGGATAACTTGCTGATTGTTTCACTGGCTGTGCAATTCACCATGGCGTAGATTTGTGGCCATTTTGTGAGCGCGTCTACTATGACTAGATACATTCTTCCTCGTATTGGACCGGCGAAGTCTGCATGCAGCCTCTCCCAGGGACTATTCGGCTTTTCCCATTGTTGCGGTTCACACTTGCTTGGACTTTTGGCTGCTTGTAGGCACGATGAACAATTGCGGCATCTGGTTTCGATATCTTGATCCATCGTAGGCCAGTATGGGTAGCTTCGAGCCAGCGCTTTCATCTTATTGATACCAGGATGACCGCTGTGGAATTGTCTCAGAACCTTGTAGCGTAATACTTTTGGAACAATAATTCTGTCACCAAACATAATACATGAGTCGACCATCATAAGTGAGTCCCGTCGGCGAAAATATTGTAGCATTTCTCCTTGAAAACGACGGTTCGGCCACTTGGTGAGAAGATAACCACTAACCTCTCTTAAAGTCTTGTCATTTTCCGTGGCTTCTTTGATGGCCTTGAAAGTAACTGGTAAACCATCAACTGCGTCTTCCAAAACTCGATGTACTTCTGTTTCCGTCTCGATTGCTGCCACCAAAGTGTTTTCTTCTGTTTTACTTGTGAACCAATCAGTCTAGATAAAGCGTCAGCTTGTCCAAAATCAGTAGTGGGCTGGTACTTGATCTTGAAGTCATAACCCAAGAGTGTAGTTCCCCAACGTTGCAGTCTGTTTGCAGTGTATACAGGTATACCTTTCT